AAGCACAAAAGCAGGCTTGCACAATGTGCAGCCAATAAAGCAAATTTTTAAGCCACTGGTGGGTGAGAAGCAGTGGGTGCCACTGGCTTACTGGTAGAGACAGGAGAGCAATTAAAACTGTAGCTCTTCTGTCAGGTTACAAAGGAGTGGGAATGAAGCAAAAACTAAAGGGATGTGACAGGGACTGTCAAACTGCCTATGCAATCTCCTACCAATAAAAGGTACAGGGTAGGGTTAGGAGATGGGTGATGCTGGGTGTGATGGGAGCAGAAGCAGGACCAGCTCATAGATCAGATGTCCGTTTATACAGTGATTATTAGGAACCCAGTCCACAACTGGGATCTCCCAATATTATTGCAATACCAGTAAAGGATGCAAACTTCAGATTTATATCAAGTTTTAGACGAATAGCAGAGTCCACAATAGGGGAAAGAGAAACCTAGCAAAAAAAACAAACATAAAGCTGCCCCCTTCTCAGCCTCTGTGTGGGAACGGAGGAAAAACCTTCTCACCTGGGTGAGATTCAGGAGGATTTCATTCCCTGACTTTGGTGAGCAGGTTTATACCTCTACTAGCTAAGACAGAACAGGCGAGAAACAGAAATACGTGAACATACAAGTGTGGCAACTGATAAGAGAAAGGGAAAAAAAGAATTAATATTTTGGGAAGAGCTGGAAGAAGAAAAACCTAGAAAATAACAGGAAGTAGGAGAAAGACACTACAGCTCGCATATGCGAGTATGTGCCACCATCTGCTAGAGAACAGAAGGAAGCAGTCTGGAAAGAAAGAGACCAAGAGAACAAAAGAAAGGAATGCAGTAAGTCAGGACTTCTGAGATGCGTGCGTAGTTAGCTGTTCTCTTATACCTGCTGCTGTACTGTCCACACACCTCAAAGGTAGCTGGCTAGCTTATACCTACTGCTATATAGATAACTTTCAGGCTGAAGAGTAATCTACCCATGGTCAGGTCTAAGCAGAACCACATCAGCTTAAGTAGATCAGTTCTAGGTAGCCCAGTTAGTCTAGAGAAAACCTCTAACAGAGACTTTCAAATGCAAAATCTCAGGTTTCTCGCACTTAACATTTTACCTTATTTCATGTCCTGTCCTTCGAGAGACCCGCGCTGGTGAATGTAAATCAGTTTAAAATAGATTCCATTAAAACAATGTAGCTTTTTCCCTGATAGATAGTTTTACAGGCCAAGAGATGCAGGGTATATGTCTCGAGACCCGTTTCTTTTCCCCTTTTCATGTACTGCTTCCAGACACTTTGTAGAAGTGATGGTAAGTTCAATGCCAACACCACCAACAGGTGTACAAGTTAAGCCTTAACAAAATTGGAAGTGATAATCTAGGTACCGTCTCTTCCATTTTATCTACAGCTATTTTTCTCCAACACCAAAAACAATTAGCCTTGATCAACAGTGTCATTAAAACCTTTGCTCAATAATCCATTCAATTCTGTAAAAGTACCCAGCTGCTAGTTAAAGCACAGAGAATAAAACTCTAAGATTTTATAGGTATATTTAATTAACAAAACATTTTTGAAGACTCAGTAATAGAAGGAGGGTAGGCATTTCAGCACACTGTGGAGCGGATTTATTTATGATTCATTCCCTCTAATAGGATATGCTTGTTTACAGAGCTTGAACTAGATCTGGTAAAGGTTAAAGATTCAATAAAAGCTCCTGTGACATAACGCCAACCCTTGCACAACATTCAACAACAAAGCCAGTTTTCTAAGAAGACGCTGCAGTGAACCCAACAATATTTTAAATAACTGGCTGCAAGTGGTTTGGGTTTTTTGCTTGTTTTTTCATATAAAGGTCTAATAAAAAAAAAATAAAAATTGAAGGTAGGCTTAAAAAAAACCGAAACAACACACCTTTAGAACTGTTAATACAAAATCACCTTCTCCTCAAAGCTACAACACTGCACATCTGATTTCTCGGTAAATTACTTTTTGAGGAAACACAAACTCCTAGACTTCACCACCCCGGATCTCCTCAGCACAGCTACATCCCTGTCATTTATGAGCACAGCCCAATTCTAGCAGGTTCCCTGTTGCATGAGGTGCCGTACCAAACTGCAATCGTTTAATACCGTGCCAACCCATAACCTTGTGTGGCTAGCACTGGTAGTGTTTTAGAGAGGGCAGGGGGATCCCCAAGGGCTGGAATTCTTTTGCTGGTTCAGATGCTGGGCAATTACAAATCTCGCCAGTGACGCTGCAAATTGGTTTATTTAGCACCTTCAGTAAAACGGTACACTAAGTTCTCCACGCACTAACTATGCAAACCATAATATTGCAACATATGCACACAAGAGTAGTAAAATTATTCTGTTAGAGCTCAGTCGGTCAACATGTGCTACATTTCCATGCATTTTGGTCCCATTACTTGAAATGAAACCAGTAAGAATAAATATTACACGTGGCTCATTCCTTTTAAAAGGGTCTTTGCTGTGAATGCAAATCCAACATACCCATCAAGATCTGAAAGCAGACTGTATTTGACTAAGTGAACTAAGCAGCTGTCACCGCGCAATATGCACTGACAGAAAAGCTCCAGAGTAACCTGTTGCAGCTATTACAGTATCTCCACTGCACATCCATCTATACTGCCAAGAATAAAAAGTATAGCGGGACCCCAGCAGCAATGCTATCAAACCTCGATGCAGAAAAATCAGGGGCAAGAGTAAAGAAAAAATTACTTCAGATAACCAAGAGGTGTCTCTGTGTTTATTTTGCATCTTCCTTTTCCCCCTCCAAACAGCCAGGAGCCCTGAAGGGATGTAAGGAAGAAGTTTCCAATGCCGGACTGCTCCCTGCCGCCAGCCCTTCGACTCACCTTACTGTGCCATTAATGGCAGAGGAAAGGTGCAGCTCCTCATGGACACAAATGAAGAGAGAAGGTGAAACTCACATCACACCTACCCCTGCTGACTTCACCAATAAACATTCCCAAACAGTGACAAACCCCACGTTTCAACAGATCAAACTCTTCCACTGACTTATCCATCTCTTCTCACCAACTGCTTCTGTTTATTCAACTTAGGGGTGAATCTGTGAGAGTGACTGACAGTTTTCATTTCTACCCTCGCTGAAACTTTAGGGAAGCGAGCTTTCCCGCAGCACTACAAGCACTGACTTTTGTGGGAGGACAAGCAAGGGAAGGTGAGAAGACAGAAAGCAATGCATTTCTGTACCACCAAGGAGTAAAGCACTGCACCTCTACTGATCTGATCCCTGCACCTGCTCTGATCCCCCAAATACAGAGGAGTTTCAGCAGTGACCGAAAGCCAAGTGGGGCTAAACAATCTCCACGACTTTACCGTTGCTCCACAAGAGCATGTAGCACGAAGAGATTTTTCTCTATCTTTCACAATTGGCAAAAGTACCAGTTACTACTTAGAAATGTAAGATACAGTACTCCAGGAATCACACGCATGATTCAGGATTACAATTCCTAAAGTCTTTTTCTAAAGCCCTGGCACATATTATTTACAGAAGCACATCGCTGCACATAGAAGCAGTATTCCTCTTCGCTGCATAAAATTGAAAGCCAGCAAAGCTACTGATATTTTTAGAGTGCAAGTTCGAAGCAGTGAGGCCTTGAAGAGATTTAGGACTGCCTGAAAGATAAGTTGGCTTAGAAAAGTCCAAGCTAATGGGGCTCTAGGAGGAATCTAGACCATGTTCCCGTTAAAAAGTTTTAGTACAGTACTGGTTCAACTAAAGGTACACAAAAGACCACACTTCAAAAAAAAAGAAGAATTCCCACCGACTTTTCTTTATCACGGGACTTTCCCGTGCCCCAAACAAATCCAAGGCTGTTTTTTGCCTTCCAGTTTCTCCCCTCCTCCCTCCCGCAGCTTCCTACCAGCTGAGATTCTGCAGCTGCAGCAACAACAGTCTGTCTGTGACACTGCAACCACCGCGGCGGGATGGCTCCTACCAATTCACTAGCTTCCTGATGTTTTAATAGAGGTAGCAAATGGTGAAGGGGCTTCCCCTCCTCTTTTAAAAAAAAAACCAAAAACCAAAAAACAAAAAAACAACCTGAAAAGATGCTGATGAATATTCATTACTAGTTCTTTATCAAGGGCGTGAGTTTCATTTAAAGGACTGGAAGGGAATTGCAAATTAGGGTAGTACAATGGGAGATTTTGACTCGGTTCTCTGGTCTCCAAATACAGCTGAAGAGTAGAGCTCTTTGCAGACAAGAGACTTGATGATAGCAGAAGGGGGGAAAACAAAAATCTCTTCCCAAAGCCACCCCGCTCCTCACGGCTGTGACCCTGCTGCCCACCGTGGCACCCACACCCAGAGCGTCGCAGTGCACCTCGCCGGTTCACAGTACCACCGGGGCCCTGGCTCTCCCAGCCCCATTTTTCAGCCCGGCTCTCGGCAGGCCGCATTCTAAGCCAGGCCTTACCAAAACCCGGCCCGTTGCTGCGAGCCTGCAAACGTTACGCGCAGACTTTTCCACGCTCCCCAGCGAGCGCCGCGCCGGGCCAGGTGCGCGCTGCTCTCCCCGCCGAGAACGCGCTGCGGCCGGCGCCCGGCACACGCTACCCCCGCGGTCAGCAGCGTACCGCTGCCGGGTTTTGGGGGAGACCACGGCACAACTTGCATTTCAATAGCCATCGCCTAGCGGATATGCTTCCAGGTCCAGTTTTTAACAAAACGCAGGGATATGAATGAGATGGGTTTTGGGGTGTGCGCGTGTGTGTGTGTGTCCCGGTCTGGGAGAGCGAAGAGGCAAACCAGCCCCTTCGCGCCTTCTCAGTCGAGCGCGGACCGCGGCTGCGGCCGGGCGGGGGGCGGCTCCGGGGAGCGGGGCGGCAGCGGGCGCACACGCACAGACAGCCAGACGCACGCACCCGCACAGCCCCACGCAGACAGACAGACAGACAGGCAGGCAGGCG